TTCAAATTCAGCTGACAAAAGCATAAATCGGTTTTCTGGCAACTGACTTAAGCTCAGCACTCACTTTGATGTGCGAATAGAAGACGACGACAACGACGACGGCTACGACGATGTACAGAAGCTTGTTGTAATTTTCAATTTCTGTCAAAAAGAATCAAGTTTGAACGCAGGCGACAGGACACACCTTGGGAAAACCACTTAACCGCACTTAATGCCACAAACAATTTTACAATTTCAACTGTCTGTGCCGTCGTCTGTGGTCCCTCACCCGAAAATGTTCCACTTAAGTGCCTTGGTACATGGCTCTTTTTGCAGTCATTAAAGTTAATTGTGTAGTGAAGAAAATTGTGTGGAAAGAAAGGAAAAATAAGAGTAACAACTATGAGGGCACAGGAAGGAAATTATGGTTAAAAGAAGTTTTAGAGTTAAAAGGATTTTTGGTCTCACTTTTTCAACACTCAACTTTCCTTTCAGTGTAAGCACACCTGCAATGGTTGAGTGGTTGACATTTCTGCGGTGCGCCGCCGAAAACTGAGCTCCTTAAATCCTTCGAATCCATAAATTACCACACGCCTCGGCTGCAAAAATTATTTTTAATTAATAATAAGTTTTAAGTGCGTTGGCCTGGCAACCATGGCGCCCACCTTAGTTGATAGCTCCCGCCCCTCTTTATTTGCCTATACCCCCCCTGAACTTTGTGTAACTCAATGCCTTTGCCTTTGCTTTCCACTCGTTAATATTGTTGTTTTTCCAGAGCAGGGCGTCTGTCTCATTTTCGTTCTTTGTCGTTTTTGTTGGTGCCGCAGCAGCGTCTATTAATTAAATTAAAAAGTTCACAGCCATCGTTGTCGTGGAATCTTCCCCCTCCTGCCCCCACTCCAGTCACACTTCTCATCAGCTCATCAGCATGCAAACTATGCAAAACAGCAAAAAAATAATAATAAAATTGAGAACATGGGGGCTTAATTGAAATGGCAGGGCGATCAAGTTTGAGAGCGGTTGCGCAGTTTTAGAGTCCCGGAAACTTTGTCCTGGCAACTGTTTAGAAAGCATTGCAATGAGAAGTTACAAAGCAGCTTTATGATAGTTTTCTAAACAAATTAGTTAATGAATGAATTGCTTTAGTTGCTACATTATGTTACTCAATATTAAAGCTACTTTTAACATAGTTTTTAAAGATTTTTATTTCCACATTCCATGGCCAGTTAAAAGGCTTTCTTTTGTTCTCGAAAATGCAAATCATTTAAACAATTAACCAACCCGTCTGGCCAGCCAACTGATTCAATTGAACTCGACAGACTGATCAACCGAGAACCCTCTTAACCCCCTGAAGCCAGTAGTTTAAAGTTTAAACAGTTCATTGGACGCGCTTGTATACATTTTTTTTTTTGTATTTTATTTTTTACCACCCGTTGTTTCCCTGTTTTTATATATTTTTACTTTTATTTTCTGCACATTCCGCCCGACAATTATGCATTATTTACAAAAGTTAATTGCCGACGCGCAACAGCATTGTTCAACATGGGCCACGCCCACTTGGAGGAGGGCAATTAACAACATTATTGACTCTGTTCGCTGGCACATTGGGCAAATGGGCAGAGAACGAGACGAGGACCCACAAGCGGCACTTTGAAATGCTAATGAAATTGCCTTTTAAAGCAGAAGCTGCAAGCGGAAAGCAAAGAACAGAATCAGCAGCTGAAAATGTCCTTCTTTTTGCCCCTCTTTTTATTTCTTAATTGATAAATTGATTAAATTGCAAAAAGCCTTAATTGCACAACCACATCAGTCACAGAGCGAGAGAGAGAGAGAGTGCAGTCTCGAAATTTAACATTTAATTTGACTTGGGAGAAAATTGCATTGCCATTGTCCTGAGTTTCAAGGCAGCCTCGTTAATGCGATGTATTTTGTCAGCATTTGAAGTGTCACATCAGCTCCGGATTGCCGGGAATCAATTGGATTTGGCTTTGTCTGCTCCTTTGGCTCCTGCGGTGGCCAATTTGAAGGATAAATTACTGATTTCGTCTATTGTCTGCCTTGCCAGGGTTAGTTACTACTGGTCAAGGGAAGGTTGAGTGGGGTCTAAACTAGGGGAAGAGATTCTAGACTTACACAGAACGAAAATTTAAAGGAATCTGATTTGAAATTACTTTAAAAGAAAGGTATTTAAGAATGGAATCTAAGCTAGAGACTATCCTCCTTAAACTTCACCTATTCTTCTCACACTTTTCCAAGCGTAAAGTTACCCATCTATCTTATAGGGGAAAACTTATCTCATAAAATGGAAAGGAAATGGTGCAGCCTTAACCATTTGATTACCCATTGGCTCGTCATAATCATGGGACGTTTCACTTCGATCCGTTTTTATGGTTTTCCTACGCTGGCAATCCTTTGCCAGCTCAACACTTTCCCAGTTTTGGAAGTTTTCGGGGGCATTTCGGTTTTTAGTACCCGTTAAGTCCTTTGGGATAAAAGTGGCAAAGAATTCCGTGTGCCCCAGGCATAATAGGTTTTGTCTCGCTTTCTCTTTCTAACCATATATCTTTCTCTTCTTCCTGACATATACCTCTTTCTCCCTCCCCTCTCTCTCTTTCTGCAGATCCTTGCAAATTTATTGCATTTACTCGATGAAGTTTTCCGCACTTTTTCTTCGTTTCAGCTGGCTGTCTTTTTTTTCGGTTTTGCTTTGATTTAATTTGGCCGCTTCTGTTGTCTCTATCTCTATCCTGTTAGTTCGCCCTATCTCTTTCTTTTGTGCTGGACTGCCTGCAATTTGCGAGCTTTGTCCAATTGGCTTTTCTGGTGTCCTGCCAATGTCCGAGTCCTGTGTTCTCGCCTTGTCCTGTCACTCATGCGTCAGCGGTATTTGTTTGGGTGCCGGCGTTTAAATCACCAGGGGTCTGTCTTCGAAACCCTGGAAAACTTTTTAAAGTCGGTAGAGGGTTTTCCTTTGGCAATGTGGCCAACTTGCCTGCCACACATAATGCTCATTTCATACTTTTGGCTGGAAGATCTGAACTGAAATTGGAAGAAGAACATAGTCAGAGTTGATGCTGGGGCTTTTGCGGTGCCATTGCATAATACGCATACAATGGAGGTTGAAATAATAGTAGAAGATTTATGTCAGAACTAACTGGAATTTAAATGGGTTAACATAAAAGAACATGTTGAACTTTATTTGGTTACAATCAGTCTAAATCTCTTTTAAAGTTTCATATTTTTAAGGAATACCCACACCCTATTCATCTGTCCACCACTGTCACTTCCCCCGCTTTGCCAAAAAAAAAGAAATCCGCAAGCCAACTCCCTTTTGGCTTGTACTTTATGCTGAACATATTTTATTGATTACATTCCCAGCTCCAACATTTCCAACTCCGGCCACTTTTCCGGCGTGTTTTGGCACAACTTTATGAGATTTCTTTTACCGCCACCCCCCAAACCCACCCAAACCACTGGAAAAGATGATTTTTGGGGCATTTCGCATTGCATTCTGGACCATCAGAGCCATTCCCCCGTTGAGTTGGCAAATAAATTGCTTATTTGTAGCGACGATTTGCGGTAACTTGTGATTTGTGGTGGGTGACATCATCATTCTTATGGCCAAGGGTGGAACTTGTGTTTCAGTTTCAGTTTCCCCCCTTGGGCTGCATATTTGCCCAGGCTATTAATTAAACATATTTGCTGCTGCTCTCTCGCTGACTGGCAGCTTATGGCTGGCCATAATTTACTTTGTCTGCTGTCTGCAGATGATGACCATTAGTGGGAGAGAGTACAAGAAATGGCCGAAATCAGAGAGAATTTGATGAGAAAACCAAGCTCTTTTTTTCTTTTGGCCACCTTACTCTCCTTGATTACAATTTATTGACTTTTGCCAGGGAAATCCTTTTGGATTTTTTCCCCAACTCCCTTTTCTTTTGGGGGGACTTTGCCCCGCCCACTTGTATGCATATCGTTAGCAAATTGCAGGCTCACCAGGACACCCGAAAAAAGGATTTGCATGTGTGTAAGAGAGAGTGTGTGTGTGTGTAAGCTGGCGGTAAGCTAATATCCAACCAATTTCCGTTTGACTCGCTTCGCGTTTTCTTCCCCCTTTTTTTTCCGCCAGTATTCAGAGCAGGTAAACTTGGCCAACATGGCCCTGCTGGTACTGCCTTTTGTGTTTCCGTTTTAGAAATTGGAAGGCAAAAAGCACCGCACCCGTTTCGTGTCCTTTTTTCCCGCTGCTGCCATATAAATTTGTACAAAAGCTTAGGCAATTTTTTCGCCTTTTGTTTGCCAGAAGCTCCACCGCCGTCGTCGTCGACTCATTTGCATATTCGGCACATTCAAAATACCCTCGATGTTTGCCCAGAACACCCTCTAAAAAACCCCTGACCATTTATCCTCATTCCCCCTTTTTATGAGCTGTGACTATAAATGTTTTTTTTTTTTTTGGGGGGGTTTAAGCCACGTTTAAAGGGTTTCGAACAGAAATTACTAAACAAAAGTGGAGCTTCCTGGGCTGTAGATTAATTTTATAAATTTGTTATTCGGGCCTCAAGTTGATTGGAAGAAAATGTAAACATCGACCAGCAAATGTCAGATTCAGGGCAAGAGGACCGCAATCCTGTGGCTTTCACAGCCACAGACCACAAAGAGCTTGGCATATTGACCCGAAAAATGGGAGGCTGAACGGCTGTCCAGTGGGCGTTGATTGGCATTCCGAAATACCCGAAATGCTCTCCTCCTGTTTCACCTATAGTTAGCTGTCAAAGCTAATGGCTCGAAGGGCTGCTGGATGGGGGAAAACTGTAAAGTGAAGTTGGGCGGGGCCTCCCGAAAAACTGAAGTGGCTTTCCTGCCACTCGAGCGTTTATGGATATTGACATCTCAATGGCCGGGGTCCCTGTAATTTAATTAGGGCACAGAGTTTCCCAAGGGAAGCCGAACCTGAACCTGAAGAGAACTCGAAACTAAACTGTGGCTTTTCCTTTGTTCTCTCTTTCTACCTCTACTTGCAGCAATTTCCCGCGAAGATGGCGAGGAGTCGACGCACCACCATCACCACCACCATCATCATCGCGGTGGACATGGCGGGCACCACAACCACGGTAACAAAGTTCCATACAACGGCTACAATTCGGAGGAATACTTGGACCGACTCGAACCGAATGGCAATATACCCGCTGACAAGACAAACTGCAGATATGGAGGTGAGTTCAGATTGATTTTGGGAACTAAATTTTATGATTAAAAACTCCTTTAAGTTATAAAAATAAGCGGTTATCTTTTTTTTTCTCATAAAATGTTTACTTTTTACATTTATTACATAGTTTTAGTTCGACTTTATATATATGTAAGGGAAAACTTAGCAAATTTAAGCCTCGACTAGGCCCATTCATAAGGCTTTGCGTAATTTATCGCCCGCTTGTGCAATAATCTCTCATTTAAGCTGCCCTCCTCCACCGAAACTAATTTAATGATAAGATGCCAAGTCCCTCGTCTCACTCTCCGATTCTCCTGCGGACTGACTGGCAATAATTTATGCCTCCATCTTGTGTGAGCAGCGTGTCTAATTATGGAAGCAACTTACAGTTTCCCAGCTTTTCCGCCTTTCCCTGGCTGCAGCTAGGGAATTCCCTCACTTCGATTTAACATCATTTTCTACATAAAGAGAAAAACTCAGGAAATTGGGTTAAAAATGAACTTTAAGATTGCTAACCAAAGTAAATCCTATAAAATATCAAGTACTTACATTATCTAGTATATATATCAGCATTTTGTTAAGCATATTTCCCAATTTCTTACAGTGTACTCCCTCTCTTTTGTAATTTATCAAATTTTTGTCTCATTTAGCTAATGCAAACAAGTTTTTTCTGTTCCATTTCGCCGTTTGAGCTTATCTAAGCGAAAATTTCCCCCGATAAGCCCCTGGCCCTCTGTCATCATTCTCCCCCGCTACTTGCTACTGTTTTCTCCTCATAATTGTAAATTGCAATTTTATGCAAACAATGGGCGGTGGTTAGGGGAGGTAAGAGGGAGTAACAAAAAGTGAGGTAGCCTCGTTGACATTGCCGATAAGCTGGCTGTGAATGTAATGACTTCATTTGTTGCTCCTGCACTTGAAGCTGTTGCTCCTTGTTATTGTCCTTGTAAAACGGGGCACTCAACTCGAATGTACTCCTCCTGGCGTGTATATATCCTTTTATATATATATATATATCTCCTTTGTCTTGCCGATGTCTAGGCCTTTCGGAATCGGGCCATAAAACAACGGAAATGGAAATATTAACAAGCAAGTGCACAGCAACAAGGGAATTATTCATAACCAAATGGAAATGGTGCATGCTCCATATATCTTTCCCGGGCTTTAAACTCAATGCCATTATTGTTGCCCTGCCATGAAGTGCTTTTCCTCCCCCTACTCCCACTTGCTGTTCTTCCTTCGAGTTATGCCTTCTGACATTGAATTCCATCGCTAGGTGGCTTATTCTAGAACAAAGTCGTTAAACTATTCCTGCGAAAGGGAAATGCCAGGGGGAAGAAAGTGTTTACGGGTTGACACGACACGAATGTTGATAGTTTTCAGCTTTTCCCTGAGTTGGTAAACAATTTTAAACGATTTTATCAGCTCTTAAAGTGAGCAATTTAGAACTAGAAGGTTGGAAAATTAATATAAAATCAAGAAAGTTGTTTAAATTTGTATAAAAAACTAAAAAACAACTAGCTTACATAATTCACACAACTATCGATGGAAACTTTTTAATTCCCTTATCTATCAGAATCAATTCTGTAAAAGTTTTTTTAAGCCACCCTCGGCCCACGCAATCATAAAGTTATATAACGCACAATAAATTACAGAGTTGTGAAAGCCAGCAGTGAAAATTCCACACAGTTAGCACAGTCCTTCTCCCTCTTGTCTCTTCCCACCCTTCCTCCTATCAGCAAAAAGCAATTTCAGTTTTTCATGCTGTTCCCATTTTGTTGCTGTTCTTGTTGCTGTTCTGATTACATGATTTATAAGTTATCTTCAGCAATGAAACAACAACGCTGTTTGCCATTAGAGGTGGGTGCTGAGGGGGGATTTATGTTCAACGCTTTTCCAAAAGATTATTGTTTATATGCGCAAATTATGCGAACATGGCTGTGTAAAATTGCCAAAAACATATTGGCCAAAACGAATTGGCATAAAAAACTGTTTTGAAACCACCCTGGAAATGATCTTAAATCATGTTTTACAATTATGCGTGAAGCATAAATTCCGAGGGAATAAATTTAATTTTTCCCGGAAAAGTGATAAAGTGTGAGAGGCATTTTTTCTTGGATTTTCTTTTAGATTTTTTAAAGGCGGGTAATTCCACCTGTAAGCTACTTTTATAGGGTGCGCTAAGGAGAAGAAGAAGGTCCTTGTATAAACTCTACTCAACTTGGGCATAAATCCTTTTAACGCTTTATTTGGCTTCTGACGCGCTTTCCTTTTGCCATCCTTCGTCCTTTGAGCCTTTGTTTGTTTTTATTTTGTACTCTGACTCGCAGGATCCTGCGTCTTGTTGTTTGTTTTTAATGCCGCCGCCCTGTCTTATTTTTTAGCCACCCTTTCTTCTCGCTCCGCCGGCAAACTGTCTGTGATTTAAATTTATTGGCAAAATACTTAAAGTAAATCTTTTTGTTTCACTTTGGTGTACGTGAAAGGGTGTTGTTTTTTAGCAACCCTTTGACAATTTTCGGTTTGCTTTTTTATACCTTCCACGCCTATTAAGGGGCCTTTCTTGCGGTTTATTTTAAAATTCTAACTGGCAGCCGCAACCGGAATCCCTGCACAGAATTTACCCAACGCCTTGCGGTTTCAGGCAGCGTCTTTCTTGTGGCTTCCACCCAAAACACCCACCACCCACTCACCCCTTTTGAGGTCATAACCCCCAACCCTCTGTCAGAATCGTTGCAGTTTATTAACGAAGCAAAAACATGTCGCCTTCGCTGACTTGTTTTTTCCGCCGCATTTGAAAGCCTTTCTCTCAGTTTTAATGATTTAGTTTACTTCCCTTTCTTCTTTGGTTGGGAAATTCTCTTGGTTTTCCTTTCTCCACTTTTTTGTTTGATGTCATTCTGCGTGAGACAATTTTTTGGCGGTTTTCGGTTTTTTTTTGGTTGGGCTAATGAAGCGACTTAAGCAATGACATGGAAAATTTGCGGTCCGCATTTTTCTCTCCGTTTGATTTTCCCCATTCCCTTTTTTTTCGAGTGTTTTTCCGGCCAGTACACAGCATTTGCATGACGGCTGCTGTAAGAGAGTGCCTGAAATGGGGCAAAGAGAAAAGAGTGTGAGCTTATCAAAAGGCCAAAGGCTTTTTTTCAGCTTTGATAAATGAAAAGTTTGCTAATTGGCTTGTTTAAAAGAGCTGCCACTGTGGATAACTGTGGCAAATGCAGAAGTATAGCAACTCTTTGAGTCGCAAACTCAATTCATTAGCCGGGGATAGGGGTGCCAACTTGGTTTATGCTGGAATTTTAGATGGAAAATAAAGTTTACAGCTTATTATGAAGTGAAAACTTAGTAAGAGTAGCGTAATATCTAAAATGAAGTTGCTATTCCTTTGGACAGCTTTGTTTAGCTCTATTTAAGAGCTGCCAACTTAGTTTTCACAACTGAGGCAAATTTGCATATGGAAAGTGCTGCCAACTTGTTTTTTTTTAAGTTTGCATTGCTAATTCCTGAAAAGAAAGGATAAAAACTTCCAAAAACTTTTTAAGTTAATAAATTTAAAACCCTTAAAAATAGACACCAGAAGCTCAAATGTCATGTCTATAAATTTTCACCCAATTTTCTTCCCCACACACACACACACCCCCCCTTCCCTAACCAAATGCAATCAATTTTTCTTTTGGAAACTTCGCCTGCCCAACTAAGCAAAGTGAAAGCTTAATAATAATCCAAAGGCGAGCCACGCCCCGCCAACTTTTGGCTTACCACTGGCAATTTTCGCCATTGTCCTACTCCCTATACCCAGCCCGCTTGCCGTTTGTATGACAAAAAAAAAAAAAAGGGAAAGAAAATTGTCCTGAAAATATCTTTTGACAATTCACCGCTTTATGCATACTAAGCTCATTATGGCCAACTTGAAGCACAGAGAACATCCTTTTTTATTCGTCCTTTTCGCCGTTATTATTCCTTAACCGAAGGGCGGGTCCTGGAAATGTGTTGAAAAAGTTTTTAATAGTGCCCAGACATCAGCAGCCCCCCCCCTTTGGTTTGATGAGCATTTCTATTTTTTATTGCATCTTGCTGGGGCTAACAATGCCCCATGGGCAGTGCCACGCCCCCAGGTCCAAGAAAGTGGCACAATATTAAAATTCTCGCTTGTCATTATAAATTCCTTGGCCAACATCGCCAGATATAATAAAAATAATAATGGCCAAAGGAACAACAACGACGAAAAAATGGACAAGGGGGAGCCTTAGAAGGTTTTCCTTCTTAAAGTTGTTAATAGGATGAAGGTGCACAGGGAGAAAAGAGGCAGTAAAATGATATTAGTTATGATATTTCATAGTAAAACATATTATTGGTTCCTTTTTATGGATTAAAATGATAATAAGAGGTAATAAAAAGCTTTAAGGCTGGCCATCCCCTCTCTTAAAGACTAAAACCAGCTTGAAATGTATCAGGTTTTTGTTCTTTGTGTATCCTTTGAATAGGATAATGGGGATTAGGATAACTTGAGGGCATTTCTGTTGCAATCAGCGCGCATTTTGACTGACAGCTGAAGTATCCATAACGTCATCGAAGGACCTCGGGGGTCATAAGCCCCCAGCCCTAGAAGCCCAAAGCCCAAAAACAGAATTAGGATTCATAATATGACAAAGTGGTTGAGGGTGGTGGGAGGTCTGCATGCTTTTCGGGGTTGGGATACTGCTCTTGGGCGGTGGCCAAATTGTAACTAAAGGTTATCCTGTCTCTGTTTGTGTGTGTGAGCCAACTGATATCCTTGAAACACACACAAACACACTCAGAGTTATCGCCTAGGTGTGCGTAAATTATAAGCAACTTGCAAATGTGGTTGTCCACACAGATACCCCCACCAACACATTGCCATACATTTGGGTATTGGTCCACAGGGAAAAGCCGGCCCCGACACTCCATTTCTATATCCTTGCAGTGAGAGAAAAGTTTAACAGCAAGAAGTGGGGTTTTAATTAATATTTTAAATGAGAAATT